CGAAGCTGTATTTAGACCCATGTGACCTTGAAATCATCTCTAGTTCTAATCATAGCTTTCACCTCTTGAATCACTTGCCCCACAGGAGAAAAATTACGTTCCTTCTCTGCCAGCATCCTGGCGACCACCTGGGAGTCTGTTTCCAAATGCAGCTTCTGTATACCCCGCTGGATTGACAACTGCACCGCCTTCCTGCATGCTAGTACCTCAGCGGTCTCCGGCTTTGAACAGTCCGGGAAAAAGTGGCATGCCGCTCCTCTAAAGGCGCCGTCTTCATCTCTGAATATGACGCCACCACCACCGCCCAGCCCTGCACTAGCCATAGCCCCGTCCACTTGGCTTTCACCCACCCTCGTTCCGGAGATTTCCATCGTTCCTTGACTGTATGTTTTTCAGTTGGAGCCCGGGCCCCGTGAGTGTTATTCCATTCTTCCATAAGCGTCGCTACCCTTCTCGCAATCTGCATAGGATCCTCAATCCTCTTTCCATCACGCGCGTCGTTCCTGGACAACCACAGCGCGTAGAGGCCTTGGATCATCGTCGACTTAGCTTCGTCATTCTCCTCTGTCAGCCACTGAAGCATCCACGCCGCCAGTTGGTGGCTCTGGGAGCACATCGAGCTAGGTGGGTTTGCCACCTTCGCCCCCAACAGCGAGCACAACTCTTTCCAAAATCTAGTCCGCCCACATGCATAGATGGATTGATTCGTACACGACGCAGTCCGCCCACATGCACGATTTGAGGGCTCGCCGGCGGAAGGAGGGGAATCGAATCGTATCGTATCTATCCGGTGGAAATCGTATCGATCGTATCGATTTGATTGATTCGCTTTGAGAAGAAAAAAAAGGAAAGAACTAATCGGAGGGAATTGCACAAACCACCATTTATTGGGGCTAGCGTTGCGCAAAACACCTACTATACGGGTTTGTTGCGGAAAACACCATCTTTTGGTGTAATACATTGCAGATAGGTCTAATCTGGTGTTTGAACACATTAACATAATTACAGACAAATGGGTCCCGCTTGTAAGTGCACGCGTGGCAATAAAAACCGGCCACATCAGCAACATATTAGACCAAGAAGTGAAAAGACCAGAGTAATAATAATAAAAACAGTTAAACAAGTGGGCTGGAAGGCGACTAAAAATAGGTGGGCTGAAAGCCCATGTGGATCAAACAAGACATGGCCATCTCGTACAGAGCGGCTCGAGCAGAGGAGCAAGCTTGCACAGAGC